ATAATATATAATCAGATTTTTATTGCACAACTTACAAAGTTTTTTACAATGTCTTATCATTATTTTACTTATAATAATTATTTAATATTTTATGAATAATTTAAGATGCGAATAAAAATATTATATGCGATAATAATAAGGAACAAAATATTATGATAAATTTTAGTTGCCACCAGTCGGTGTTCGTCCAGAAAGTGTTGAAAAATGGATTAAAAAATCTATGGAAAATTTACAATTAGATTATTTAGATCTTTACTTGATACATGTGCCATTTACTTTTCAAGAAATTGGAGAGGATTTATTTCCTAAGAACGAAAAAGGAGAAGTTCTGAGTGATACTTCTACGGATCATGTAAAAGTTTGGAAGGAGATGGAAAAGCAAGTTGAACTAGGACGAACTAAAAGTATAGGCCTTTCGAATTTTAACGAAACTCAAATAAAAAAAATCTTATCAATCACATCTATACCAATTTCTAATTTACAAGTAGAATTACATGTATACTTCCAGCAAGTTGAACTGGTAAGTATCGTAATATAAAAATGATATTTTTTTATTATAGAATGAAAATAAAAATAATGATAACGATAAACCATGCATTACAGGTTAAATTTTGTAAAAGTAATAATATTAGTATAACTGCGTATTCACCTTTGGGTACCCGTGGACTGGTAAAATTACTAGGAAAGACTGATGTCCTTCCAGATTTATTAACCAATGCTGTTGTTTTGAAAATCGCCCAAAAATACAATAAGACTGCAGCTCAAATTTTGCTGAAACATATTATTTGTAAGGGTATATCAGCTATTCCAAAAAGTACTAACCCACAACGAATTAAAGAAAATATACAATTATTTGATTGGGAATTGGAAGACGAAGATATATTAAAATTGAATGCTTTAAACAAAGGAAAATCTGCACGTATATGTGATCTCACTTTCCTGAAAGGTATTGAGAATCATCCTGAATATCCGTTTTAAAATTTTTTAAGTCATAACTCAATTATTATTTCAATATAATTACATTGAAACATATAATATTTGATATATTTAAAATATTTAATATTAATTATATATCAATATTTTATTTTTGGAGGAATTAAATTTATGATATTTAAATGGGTAAACTTAAATAGGTTAAAAATGAATTCTGAAAAAAAATAAAAATAAAAATAAAAAATAGAAATTATTAAAATATCTATTATATTTTTTGTTTTTTATATTATTTCCTTGCATTATATCATATTTTCCATTTGTCTAATTTCATAATTTAAAGGAAAGTAGATTTAAATTAGTGTAATGCCACACAAATCTAAATATAATCAATTGTTAAATAAATAATTTGTAGATATATTATATTCATAATCCATTAAAAAATTAAAAAAAGTACCATCATTAAAATACCATTATGCAATTTAAAAAACCATCACTAATGTCACTAATGTGTGCGGACATCCAAAACAATACTAAATGAAAACGTTTATTTATGGTTATGTTCTATAAGTAGCATTTAAAACGTTTCTAGAATTTTCGAATGAGTTCACTTTTTAATGATTAAACACTTTATCACATAATATACAATACTTCAATGGCTTAGTCCAGATATGTCCAACTCATTTACACAAATTCATTTAATGCAACTAGTAAGTAACATTACATTTATACATTTTCTTAAAATTATATTTTGAAGTAAGAATGCAGGAATAAATAGTACAATTAAAACACATTATATAATTCAATTACTTTAATTCAACAATATATATTTATTATATAGTATTGCTTTTATTTAAAGATTTATTTTATTTAATGTATATATTTATAAAATTAAAATTTGTTTTTATCGGAAACAAAAAGTTGGCCAGCGCTTTCTTCCTCCTACTAATTTTTTAATATCTGGACTGAGAACAATTTTCATTATAGCAGATAGATGTTTATCAGTTAATCTTAATCTATAAGTCGTTTTACCGCATGAAAAATGTGTGCTCATATAAGTACATACTTCTAAAAAAGCATAATATTTGTGTAGCAAATTTTGTAATTTCTAGATATTTTTCACCTAAATAGGAATATATTTTAGGGGTTCCTACTTTTTGATATTTATTTTTTAAAACTGAATCATTCTGGAATTTTAGTGAAATTGACTCGAAGTTACTAGCGAGGTGCGTAACCACGGCCTAGTCTTCTAGTATGTCATAGCAACACGTGATGGTTAGTTGTTATTTTTTTTTGTAACACATTGTTCTGTTTTTCATTTTTCTGCATAGCATCGTGACCATGGACCACCAATTTGACACACCCGACCTAGACCATTTTCGAAAAAGATTATTTTTCCTTATTCTTTCCTAATCTAATTTCTTAATAAATGTGTAAACTGCTCTTGCAATCTTATGAGACTTTCACCAGATATCGTACAAAAATAAAATTATTATTTTTTGATTTTAAATTAATTTATCACAGCGCATTGTTAAGGGTATAGAATAAAATACATACAATGATATATTTAAGCGTGGATTAAAAATAAATCTCCCATTTCATTTACCAGTTCCATTTTATGACTTAAGTATTAAGAGATACAATGAAAAAATAAATGTTTAACAATACCACATGTGTTTTATTTCATTGGATAATATAAAACATATGGCACCGATTAATTTGAATCTATCCAATTGTAATTTTCATTTATTACGAGCAAGTATTTAAGTTATTAATGATAGTAATTTATACTAATTGAGTGCATTATTGTACATTGAATTACCTAATTCGAATTGTTTTACTATTATTTGTTTAAAAAATAGGTTCAATGACACACAGGCTTTTTTTTAGATTGTATAGACAGTAAATATTATTAAATATTTTGTACAATAAGTTATGTTCCTTGAATAGTAGATGAAAACAACAAAAAGTTTACTGACAATGATCATCGAGGTCTCAGATAATAGACACTGACTATACAAATGACTAAATGTTATCATTGCATTATAATCACAATATAAGTATCTAATTACTTAAATTCAAGGATAAAACTACTTTGTCGAAACTATTCTTTTCTTTTTTTTTGGTGTTCAACTTATTGTAGTGTGCGTGCATCAGCTCTGAACCAGAAATATTACACATAGAGTTAAAATTAATAATACACTAGATATGGTGCGTTTAAGTAACACAATACAAATCCTACATTGTCAAAGAGCAATTACGCTTTCTCGACCAGCACCAACGCCAATCCATTTAACTGAAAAAATAATTTTTTGTGATAAAATTTACATTAATGTGCTATCCTAATACAAATTACAAATTTTATATATACCAGGTATATCCAAATATTGTTCTATGAACTGAATATACGTTCGTGCATTATGCGGTAGTTTATCTATGGAACGCACACCTTCAGTTACGGATAACCATCCCTCTAATCGCTCGTATATGGCTTCAACTTTTCCTAATTCTGTTGTTGTACTTGGGAAATAATCTATTTCTTTTCCATTTATACGATACCCAATGCACACTTTTAATTCTGGTAATGTATCAAGAATATCCAGTTTTGTTAAACAAATAGAGGTATATCTGTGGTAAAAATTAATTAATTAATTACTAGAGTCAAGATTACAAAATATTACTACTATACTTGGATTAAAAATATAATAACAGCTTACCCATTAACCATCGATGTATATTTAAGCAATGTTAAATCGAGCCATCCACATCTTCTCTTCCTTTTAGTAGTTACACCATACTCGTGACCTCTAGTTTGAAGTAATTCTCCTGTTGCATCAAGAAGTTCTGTCGGGAACGGACCATCTCCAACTCTTGTAGTGTATGCTTTTACCACACCAATAATTTCTCCAATCGTATTAGGTGGTAAACCAAGACCTGTACAAACTCCACCTATGCTACAATTTGAACTTGTCACGTATGGATATGTTCCAAAATCAATATCCAACATAGCAGCATTGGCACCTTCAACTAGCACCTTCTTATTTTCTTTTAAAGCATGATGTAAATATTGAACGGTTTCTTTTACAAGCGGCCTTACACGTTCTGCGTATCTATAGAACAAATTTTTCCAAATAATATTAATGAGCGTTCGTTTTTATTTTTATAACAATATTTATAACATTATATTTACTCTTTATAACGTTCCAACTCTGCGTTAATATCCACTTGTAATGCGGGAAACATTTTTTGATATGAGAATACCAATGCATTGAATTTCTTGGTAAATACTTCAAAATCCCCCAAAAGATCTCCGATCCTAAGTCCATTTCTTGTAGCTTTGCTAGAATAGGTTGGCCCAATACCTTTTTTTGTAGTTCCCAAAGACTGATTTCCCTTTTCTAATTCTTGTAATCCATCTACCTGTTGATGCAAATCAAATACCAGATGTGCTCGATCCGATATGATGAGTCGATCTTTCCAATCTTTAAGTCCTTTGGCTTCATTTTTTGCTAATTCTTCGAAGAGACCTGGGAGATGAATAACTACCCCATTTCCTGCAAACAAAATATAAATGTTTTTTAATAAAATATAATTTCCTATTTAAAAAAAATATATATATACGTATATTTATATATGCACATAAATGGCTAGAACATAAATAATAAAGTATATTAATTTTATCAATCAGTGAGATTTATAATAAGACAAAGGAAAAAAGCAAAGAAAAAAAATGAATTTTTACAGATGTATATATACAATAGAAAAATAGAACAGTGCTCTAGTTTCCTGCTTTCACAAAAAGATATATTTTTTTTTATCGAGTTACCATTAATTATTACTTAGAATAGTTTAATTTTTGTTAATTGTATATGAATATACCTATAACATTATATATTAAGCATTTCTGCGTCTTGTAGGTTTTTGATTTATAGCGGATTTAGCATAGAATATGTCAGTGTATTAGATGATTGGTTTTATTTTGTATTTTTTTAATCTATTTTTTTTTTGTTTCGGAACACGAAGAAGAACCAGACTATTAAACTTTACTTGTTGATTTGAAAATATTACCTATAACGGATTTGCATCTGGGATTGATTATTCCACTAGGCAGAAGGTGAAAGTCGAATTCGGCACCTTCTACAACTACAGTATGCCCTGCATTATTTCCTCCCTGTGAAATCACAGTAATATTTGAAGAGCCAGGGCTTTTACCAGCCATAAAAGAATCAATATAATTTGTTTATTTCATATATAATAATATACAGAAACTTTTTTTGGTTTCCAAATATGACCTTTTTTAATATATGATATAGAAAAAATATATCATATGAACAAGAGCTAAACGAGAGACCTAATTTCATCGTTTCAATTTTCTTACTTTATATCGATTAAATTCTACCTATGAACAAATTCTTTAAATGAAATTTTCTATTTTTTCCAGCGATAAGCATCAATAACCTCTCATATTGAACTAATTTATTGTATCTTTGGCAACAGAATGTTTGATTCTTTTATCTTTAAAAAAAGAAATTATATATATATTGGATCCTTTTCTACACTAATGATAAATTACAAAATCTAGTTTTTCTTTTGCAATAGTATATAAAGCTAATATTATACAATCTCAGGTATTTTTTTTTATACTGTGATTCATGAACAAACAATTTATGTGTTAAATAGCAGAGATATTATTTAAATTCAGTATCTTAAGATAAACATTAGAAAGTTTCTCATAGTATTGCATGTTTCATCTTCAATATTATATTGCATGAAAACATAAAAAAATAATAATAATATAGAAATAAAAAAAATGCTTACTCCTTTTTTGTTGCTAATTATAGAATATTATTTATATAATCTGTATTAATAATAATAATGATAATAATAATAATATACAGTATACCTAAAAATTAACACTTAAAAAGAAAAATCACATAAGATTAATAACAAAAAAATAAACAGGAAATAAATTAAAAGGACAACACGTGAATATCGTCAACGATCTTTCAAAGTTCAATTTATCTAATAATCAAGAATTATATAATCCCAGGTGTTGAATATAAAAGAGGTTATACATATATTTGTGGCTGAAACTTCTAATGTAAGATCCATCGAACAAATGACGTTTTTGTCTAAAAATATAACATTGAACGATTAAAGTAAATATGTGTATGTATTTCATACGTAATAAATTAAACACCACATAACCAATACAAAAAAGAATTACAAAATAAATTAAAAAATATCTGTATTGAACGATTTCAACGTATATACGAGATATGTTTCCAACAATAGAAAAAAACAAAACGAACCAAAACGAAAACGAAATAATTGGCAAGGATAATAATAGATAAAATAAAATCTTTCTTGAAAACTTTCGAGAAAATAAATCTTTTATAAATGTTTTCGTTTGAAACTTAACACGATTAACATATTTATTTAGTTTGAATTAGGAAAAAAAGGAGCGGCAAACTCGTTTACGATGTTTATATCGATTAATCGAAGAAGAAATAGCAAAAAAAAGAGGAATCGAAATAGAGAAGAATAAAGGAAGAAAAATATAGAAAGAGAGAGAAGAGGAAAGTGAGAGAAGGGGAAAGAGAGAGGTAAGCGAGCAAATAATAAGAATGAATAACAAAAGAAAAAAAGTAAAATATAATAAAATACTTACTTGACATCTACATACGATGTCAGCATCAGTTGCCAGCATATCCACAACCTTTCCCTTGCCTTCATCACCCCATTGCGCGCCAAGGACTACCGTGACCTTGGAAACGAGCCCACTCGTGGATGTTCTCTGTTTCTTTCTTGGTGAGCCCGGATTACCATCACCGTTAGTCTGTTGAACGGAATGTTGTTGCATCCTCGTACAAGAAGACATATTCGTCCTGTTTAAAAATTCTTCGAAGATTCGTCAAAGAACTCAAACGAAATGATTTTGTAGGATCGAAGCAGAGACACAACGCTAACTTCCCCTTCTCTCTTTCTCTCCCTCCTTCTTTCTCTCACTCGTTTGATCGTTCGTTTTCTCGCCCGGAAGTCCGATCCGTTACGAACTAAACCAGCTGACGACGCACGGTATGGATGAAATAATAATTTCCCTGTCCCGCCACCACGGGCGCGTGCGCATGCGCAATTCGACGCAACGGACAATAATGTAACAAGGAGATAAGTCACTCCGTGACTATAAATTACGACATTTTAATCATTTTTATTTTTCTTCTTTCATACCTTATCTATGGATGGATAAATGCATGATGTGTACATATTTATACAAATGATTAATGAATTCTTTTAATTGCCGAATATATTAATTTCATGTGATATCATTTTATATAAGTATGTATGTTAGATATAGATATGTATATTATATATATTTATTTTTTTAAGGGAAATCCCAGGATCCCGTATTTACAGATTAGAAGTTTTGTTTTTATGGTACTATCTTTTAAAAATAATCATACATATTAGTAAATAAGAATATGTTTACATATTTTTATTACTCTGTTGTAAAACCTAATTTTTTTTACTAATGCAATATAGTGTATAATTATATTTTAAAATTTAATTAATTAAAGAGTTCCTGACTTCATATGATAATTTCTTAACGAAGTAATTTAACAATTAAATTACGTTAACGCGATCATCGACATAATTGACTTTTTCTGGTTAAATAGTGGCCTACTTTAATTTATTTACTATCGATCGATCAAACATAAGAAATCGATTTATTTTTCAAATTCGTTATACTAGAGTCGGTTGGAAAATTTCAAGATTATGTTTAAAAATATAAGTAACTTTGACCGAACCAAAATTGTTTCTTATGTTAGACTCAAAACTTTTCAACCCACACACTCACGTATATTGGATAATACTTTTCTTTCATATATATTATATTTTTCTCTTTTCTTTTTTTTTTATTTAAGATTACTTATCATTGACCTCATTTATCAATTAGATTTACAGACAGATATCTGTTTCAATAGTGTACCCTTTCGGCCTCTCTTATCACCTCTTCAAATTTCAAATTAACGCGCGTATTCTTAAACGCTATCTTTGCATGAGTCGCATAAAATGATGACTCAAGAATTTCTCATAAATCTCTCTTTTTCTTTTAGATTTCGAGACATCTTAATGATCCGACGTAATTTTTATGCAATGTATACGTATGTGTGTGTATTAAAAATGTAAATGTATTCATGCATGCGTTCTCATATTGCGTAAGCTAAAGACTTATTAGCTTACTATGATAAAAACGAAAAGGGTTCATAGTAATGAGCGGTATTATTCTTTGGCTCCACTTTTTTTACAATATTACAACAGTGTAAGAAAAAATATAAACGTAACATCTTCTTAAATGTCGCGTGTCTAAAAAATCAATGCTTCTATTATTTTTTCTTTCAATTTTAATGAAACGTTTATTTAAAAGAGACGCTTAAACTTATTAAGTATTATATTTGCAATGCGTAAGTTTCTTATCTTTACACTTGTTATAATCTTATCGGGGAAAATTTAAATACATGAAATCGGGTCTTTTCTTTTTTTTTCTCTCTCTGTTTCATATATCATCGACACAACGTATGTAAAGAAGGAGGAACAAAAACGTTTCAAGAAGAAATTAAAAAATAGAAACAAAATGAGATAAACAAATCGGTTTAATTTAATTTAATGAATGATATTTACGCGTATGTAGTTTAGTTGACGAAGATTGAGAAGTAGAAAAGTTCGAAGAAAAGGTTCAATATTTACATCAACGAGATAGATCTATTACCGGATTAGTCGACCCCCGTGGCTTTTTAATTATATAAGCTCGAATAGATCGAAACATCTGCTACCCCATAGAAAAGCAAGCATTACACGCTTGCCAAAAGATCTCTTCTACCCCCCTTCTATCCCATCCACAACTTTTTTTGTTGTTGAGTGATGTATACCGGGAGTATCAATTACATTGTTATTACCGTTGGCTGTTCGAAAGATGTGGTCGCAAGATAATGCACTGTTATAAGAGCATGCACACAAAAGAAGGGCAGGTACTGCGTTAAACCACCACCATGCAACTACAACCACCACTACTACTACTACTACTATCATTATCATTGATAGAACCTATGCACAAGAGTTTCCTATACGAGAAAAGCGATAGCCATCGATGGTTGTTGTGCAACTATGCTTGTCTAATTTGGATTTACTACAAAATAGATATACCTTAGCGAAAATAAAAGGTGGGGTATCTAGATACTACTCAGATGTAGTATATATAAAGGACGAAGGGCCAAGCCCTACGATTTATTTCCTTTGCACCATCCAATACTCTATTTCTCTCTCATCATTCGCGATGAACTCATCGTTGCCAAAATCACGCTCCGAAAGGAGTGACTTTAGTATAGCACGAATTTTGGCTAACGATCATGACGTATCTAAGGATATAGTAACATCTAAAGATTTAAATAATTGTGTCGATGTCGTTGTTAATCAATTACATGATCAAAGCATGAAATTTCGTCGAGAGAATGACGATGATATTAAAAAAGTATCCAATCTTGTTAGTAGTCGTGATTTTGATTTAAGACCGATTGATCAACTCGCAAGGAATATTAACGAAAAAGAAGATAACGATGATGATGGATCTAATGTAATACAGGAATCTATTGCGCAGTCGCGTTCGATCAACACAAAATACGAAGATGACGTTAGAAGAGAAGAAGTCGCAGCATCTAATGAGAAAAATCAAAGAAACGAATTAACTTGGCTACAATATACGAGATATAAACCGCCTAAATTACCTAGAAGAAGCTTCACTGGTAAAAATACTAAAAGACGACCCGGAATTCATCCACGCATACCGTTCTCTTCGTTTCAGCTTCGAGTTCTTGAGGAAAAGTATAAAGAAAATGCTTATCTGTCAAGGGGAGACGCGTATGATATATCAACTGAATTGAGACTTCCTGAAAGTAGAGTAAGTTATTCAAATATGCTTATTTTTTTTATTTATTTATTAGTTTCATATTTAATTCATTTATATCTTTCACGCAACAAAATTTAGTGATATTAAAAAAAAACGAATCGTTATTTGTGATTACGAATTAAAAAAAAAGACCAGAAAGTTGCTGAATTTTTTTTTCTTATATTTTCTTTAATTTAATAGTATTTATCTTATTTTTGTAACGTGCAACAGAATCTCGAGATATAAAAGAAACGATTCATTACAATTGGATTATTGCAAGTTAAAAATATGTACTTACACACGTTCTCGTGCGTTACCAAATATTTTGGTATTACGCCAAAAATCTTTTCTCGTTTATAGGTGTACATATGTTTCTTTAGAACAAACAATAAATTTCCATATTAGTTTACTATTTTCGTTTGCTTTACAAATATAGATTTACATGCTTTACAAATATTTTTTTGTTTTCAGTTAATCTATGTATAAATTAAAAAATTAATTGTTTTTTCAAATGATTTTATTTTATCATAAATTTACAGGTAAAAATCTGGTTTCAAAATCGCCGTGCACGGGATAGGCGAGAATCTAATAATGTTATGGCAATTACGTAATAAAAGATCTTGGAATTATGATATGCAATAACAACGATGCGATGAAGAATAATGGGAGAAAATAAGTAAACTAATAATATAATTGTTTACATAAATGCCATAAACTTGTCCGTTGTACATAAAGTTCATAACGTCTTAGAAAGTACAAATATTATTTAAAATGGATGTTGATTAATTTTATTAAATTAACTTGTAAACTTATATTTTTGTATACTTTAATATCAGAGGAAATATTTTCAAAAATTATTTATTATAACATCATGTTATATAAGATAAAACAAGAAACATAATGATACATATATTTAAAATTTTTTTCCTTATTATATTTCTACCTAATTTGTGTATTATACCTACAGGTACATATATATATATTTTTTTTTTTTCTAATATATTGGTCCGTGCAACGTAACACGCTATCCTTATAACATCCTTTTTCCTTACAATGTTATATTTTATTACATTTTATTACTATGTATTAAGGATAAATATTTATTGACTATATTACATAGAGGTAAAATACTATTGTATAAATTAAATTTATTCACTTATTTTAACACTTTACCGACCACTAGCTGTGTAACAGCATATGCACGTCCGACTGATCGCCCAGCTGCAGATTCTTTCGCCAGGGAGAGTGATGGGCTACCCGTCGGTAAGTGTCGACAACAAAAAGCCGATTAATAGACTATCAGTCGGTAAAGTGTTAATAGGTATTTTAAGTTTGTAATTTTACATAAAATATTTTTTCTTGTAGTAAGATGATTGCATTATATCAAAAAAGAAGTTCTAGAATAATCAATTCTTATGCACTTTTTTCAGTTTTTGTCAATGATGAAGACCGGAGACTTTTAACTTCTTCGGTTGACGGATCGCTCGTCCTGTTTCACTATCCGAAGATTCAGATTCAGAATCATTGTAACTATTCATTCCTATCGAATCAGATTTAGATACCTCACATGTTTCTGCCGCAAAGTTTCCAGTTATTTTGGCTTTCTCTAGCGTTCGTACTGATTATACATAGAAAAGAAAATAAACATAATTAAATTGTAGATAATTTGGTTCAGAGCGACTCCTAATTATTAGATTAACTTATATATTCTTTTCTTTTTTTTTTTTGTAAATCAAATGTTAATACAGGTAACCCACCTATAATACGGTAGATAGGTTCCTAGAAAATGCAATGTTATGTGAAACCGTATTATATGAGACCCAAAGTTCATTATTTCTTCACATCATTATTTTAAGGTAATTTGATTTTTAAATATGTTAAACAAAATCATATTACCAGTGGTGTAAAAGCATTAAGTGTTGTACAAAGGTTTACACAATTTATGAATCATGTAATAGCGAAACCATGTTATAGAATGCCATGTTGTGGGAGGGTTTTCGCAATTTATGAATAGTGTTTAGCGAACCATGTTGTAGGAGGGTTACCTGTATTATATACTCGAACATTTATTACCTGACATGACACAAATCTTACTTTGAGTTTCCAATAGACTGTTTTGCCTTTTCAAATCATCAATGTCCTGTTGATGCGAAGAATTTTTACGTCGCATGAATTGTATGTATTCGGCTGCTTTTTTAAGTATTTGCGCTCTGCTAGCAACTTTTTCACCTTGTAAAGCAGGAACAGAATCCCTAAGGCTTGAAAAACTATCCTTGATATGATCTCTTCTCTTACGCTCTAATGCATTATGGTGTGCACGTTTTTCAGCCTATGCATGAAAGCATAATACACAATCTTATATATATAATTGATAAAAGTATAATAACAAATCATAATATTATAACAATAATAATAATAATAATAATAATATATATATATATTAATACACAGGGATAATTTATTCTCAAGATATTTACATTTAAAAATAAATAACAAATATTAGGTCACACACTCAAATGTAAACACTACTATCTTTAGAAAATTTTAACTAATTATATAGACTATAAATGCTTAAGATAATTGGAATAAATTGAGAATAAAAAATCAGAATGATATGGCCATTAAGGTTATTAAATTCGTTTTCTTATGCTCTATCAAAATATCTCAAACAAAATATAGAGTTTCATTTAAAAAAACATCTATAACCTTTAAAATTGCATAAAAAGATGATCATAAGAAAAAAGCTTTCAATCGTTACATTTCTTCTGTGCGATAATGCAACTTTTTATTTAAAGCTTTTTTCATATAATTGTAAACAAAGAAGATATTCGCGTTTGCTGCTTCTCGTGACTCTCTCTCTGTAGATATATTCATTATACACACAACATACGCACGGCATATCTTATAACGTTAAAAATAAATTGTACGTTATTAGAAATCCATATAAATTAACTTACTTGAGAATAATATTGTGTGTTATTGGAATGTCTCTGCCTAGAGTCAGAGTCATCTCCTTCCTGTTTATAAAATGAATATATATTTTATATCAACTAACTAATACACGCATTTAATACTTACATCACTTTCTATATCAATATCTCGATCATCATCACTCATGTTTATTCCTTAATTTCCAGTTGTTATTCGATAACGTAAACAGAACAACTATCTATAAGTTAACTCTGACGCCAACTTGTTCACCTAAACGATTAAATCAACGCCGTAGACTATATGTGTTTGGCAAGTTTACAAAATACTTGTTCATATATATATATATATATATATCTATATACTACGTATGACCAACTTATGAAAATTTCATAATGAAGCAGACATGGATACAGTCAATTGGTTATATTAAACATATCTATTTAATTTTGGTTCGTAAGGAATTCTCATTAATAGGATTTGATAAATGATTCTCATTTATTGTACGTTTATTAATTATGTTATCGATTACTACATAGACTCTGATCGGTTTTCATGTAAATTTGAAAATGAATGAAAGTCGCTTAATATAGGGAATAATCGTACAATGAAAATGATCCTTTATGTCATTCTGATTACGAAAGTACGTTTCGGGGGAATATATTCTTTCTAATATCTATAAATTAGAAGCGTCAAAGTTTTCCATTTTATTATTTATATATATATATATATATATATACAAACACGATGTTTAAATTAAGAGTTTTTAAATTTAAATAACTAGAGAGAGAGAAAGAAAGAGAGAAAGAAAAAGAGGGAGGAAGAGACACGTCGCTAAGCGTAAGACGCATATATGATATATATTTTTAAAAAGTTACTATTCGAACAGCTGATTCGACAAATGTACTTTTGACGCGTGGTTGCCGTTAAATGTAATAGGAATGTAAGTGACGTGTTGAATCTATCGGTGGAACTCTGTGATCAACATAGTTCTATTAAATTCGTTAAATCTAAATTTGTTGTGTGTAATGAAAATCAGTGGGTTGATCGATCTTCAATGTCATATATTATTTAATATGAAATATGTACGTTGACGTGTCCTAATGACGTAATTTTTATCTTAAAAAGAAAATATATACGTACGTATACATATATTCATCCTCCTTTAGAAGATAATGTGTTGTGTTTTACACGTACATACGCATCGAGAGGAAATAAAATAAATTATTTGTGAAGATTCTATTTGCAATGAGGATATTACAATTACCTGATCATCTCTCATGAGACTATAATTATATTAATAGTGGGAAAAAAATATGAAGCCTAATCAAAGTGTATTACTTTTTTTGCTCGCGTTGGTTATGTTTTCCATAGCGGATAACGAAAATGATGGGAAAAAATCTGCTGATATTACGGACAAATCTAATTCTAAAGATGATAATAAAGATAATAAGCCTGTTGAGGATCCCAAAGAGGCGTTCGAACAGTTACAGGAATTTTATGCTTTACATGATACTATGTTAAAAATTGTGCCAGATATTCTTAATGAAAATCTTCCTAAACCATTAAAAGAGGAATCTGAAAGTGAATCTGATACGACTAATAATAAAGAATCCGTAGAAACTATTGCATTAAGGAATCAAGTGTTATGGATGAAAAACATATTGGATCAAAATAAAGATACAGATAGTGACACCGTGGATAATAAATTACAATCATCGGAAGAAGAAATTTTAGTTTCTTGGGCGGATGAAGAACCGTTCGAAAGCACTGAAGAAGAAGTTAAGGAATCTTTGACACCGGAACAACAGAAAGGTAAATTTAATAAAATGTATATCTAATGTATATTCTATTGTTTTTTATTTCAATAAAATCAATTAGAATATTTGTATATAACTTTTTTAGTAAATACTATTATACTTATTATATAAATTATTATATAAATATCTTATTATGATTATACTCATTTTAGCTGAACTGTTGTTCAAAAATGCTCAAAATTTATTAAATGCAACACGAGCAAACAAAGTGGAAGCGTTTAAGTTTATCAATGCAGCAGCAATGCTGGGACACAAGGAAGCTAGGTCTATGTTAGCGTGGGCACAATTACTTGGAGATCCCATGAGCGTTGCTCCTCAAACTCGTTTTCAATACATTTCTGCTGCATACCAAATATTTAATGAATTGTCTAAAACAGGCTTACCATCTGCGCATATGGTTCGCATATGATTTAATAGAAATATTAAATTGTTACTATAATGTTGAAAGATGTAATAAATATTATTTTTACAGGGTATGGGATTTTTATATGCAACTGGATTAAGTGGAGTCAATGCTTCTCAAGCGAAAGCTTTGTTACATTACACGATGGCAGCTTTGGGAGGTGATCCTCGTGCACAAATGGTTTTAGGATATAGAAATTGGGCAGGAGTAACAACTCCTGTCTCATGCGAACGAGCATTAGATTATTATAGAAAAGTAGCTAATAAAGTTGCAGAGGAAGTATCTCTTAGCGGCGGACCAGTTGTGCAACGTGTCAGACTTTTAGATGAATATGAAAATCCTGGATACAGTTCTGGAATTTTTGATAGAGACTTAATAGAATATTATCAATTATTAGCCGAACAAGGAGACGTTCAAGCCCAAGTAGGTCTCGGTCAACTTCATTATCAAGGAGGTAGAGGAGTACCTTTGGATCATCAAAGAGCATTACAATATTTTCTACATGCTGCTGATGCAGGCAACCCTATTGCCATGGCATTTTTAGGAAAGGTACAAGGAATACAAATAACTATTTTTATCTATGCAATTAATTTTTCTTATCGCATATCCTTGTATGTAGATTTACCTTGAGGGAAGCGATATAGTAAAACAAGATAATGAAACGGCATACATGTATTTCAAAAAAGCTGCTGATCTGGGAAATCCTGTTGGTCAAAGTGGTTTAGGAATGATGTATTTGTATGGAAAAGGTGTTGAAAGAGATACAGCCAAAGCATTACAATACTTCAGTCAAGCTGCAGAACAAGGATGGGTAGACGGTCAACTTCAACTGGGCAATATGTATTTTAGTATGTATATATAATGATTATTACACTAGATTCAATTTTAAATAACTAGTATAATACTTATAAAATATTTTCTTTTAATATATGTGTATATTTTTATATAAATATTTTTCTAAAGGTGGAATCGGAGTAAGAAAAGATTATAAATTGGCAAACAAATATTTTAATTTGGCCAGTCAATCGGGCCACGTTTTAGCATTTTATAATCTTGCTCAAATGCACGCAACCGGAACTGGCATGATGCGAAGTTGTCCAACAGCTGTAGAATTATTAAAAACTGTTGCTGAGAGAGGAAAATGGAGCGAGCAATTAATAATAGCACATAACAACTACAGAGAAGGGAAAATATATGAAGCATTTATCAACTATTACCTTCTTGCTGAAATGGGTTATGAAGTGGCTCAAAGTAATGCAGCATTTATTTTGGACAAAGGTGAAAGTACCATTTTCACGGAAGAGCAAGGATTAGTTCGAGCTTTACAACTTTGGGCAAGAGCAGCTGCTCAAGGATATTCTGCGGCGCAGGTATACATTTTTTCTATGGTTCTAATAGAAATAATATATACATTCTAAATATCTGTGTGTATATTAAAAAGAATATATTTTTTTAATAGGTCAAACTCGGCGATGCTCATTATTATGGAAGAGGAACGAAAGTAGATTATGAGGCAGCCGCAAGTCACTATCGTTCAGCTTCTGAACAACAGCACAATGCTCAAGCCATGTTTAATTTGGGTTATATGCACGAACGTGGCCTAGGATTAGCTAAAGATCGTCATTTAGCTAAACGATGTTACGATTTAGCAGCGGAAGCAAGTCCAGATGCGCGAGTACCTGTTGCTTTAGCCTTGATCAAACTTTCTTTCTTATTTGGACTGGACTATTTACAAGAATTTAGTCTGATCGATCAATTAGATAAATGGGACCAATTGCTTGGTCAGAACTGGGATCTGTATTTAATTGGATTTCTTACAGGAATGCTCAGTCTTATCATATACTTCCGCAGGCCGCAGCCACCTCCTCCTCCACCAAGACCTGTTCCTCCTGTTAACTAAATTTTTATATTATCTCTTGCATTTTGTGTATATGTGCTATTTTAAGCTAAGCTCGGAATCTACTTTATATGAAAAGAAAAAGAAAGGAAAAAGAAAAAATTCGTTAAATGGACTGCAACACTGTTGATAATGAAATTAAAAATTCATTCTTTTTTCCCTTTTTTTTTTTCTCTCTTCCTAGAATAGTAAGCGATATAAGTCATATACATATAGTAATTTTTTAAATAATTTTCTTTCTTGTACAGTTTGACCACTTGTGAAGCGGATATAACATTTTTTACAAAATATTTTATGTGCAAATAAAACAAAAACAAATATATATATAAGTATATAAAAAAACCTTATATCATTTAATAAATTGCTGATAGTATATTTGTCAATGCATATAAATTTTTTTAAAGTGAAAAAAAATATATAGTAATAAATAAAAATTTGATTATATCTTTACAGATGTAATTAAACTTATTGATATTATTTGCAGTTTCTGAGCTTAGCTTTTAGAACGTTAAGTTTCATTGCAAAAAGAAAAATCACCCGAACGTTAATATATATCAATATTTTGTTTCCTTTTCTTTGCTAATCAAGCAAAATACCTGACATATTATTAACCATTTCCAAAATTAAATTTGACAATGCACACATATATTATTTCAATGGATATATCTTAAAGAATCGGGCTGCCTTTCCAAGTGGATAATTATACAGTGATTTTGTACAAATAAATAAATTAAAGAGTAATATTTCAAATGATATCACGTTTACTATTATTTAAAATTTAAAATCGCATATATATAATATTTCAAGAAAAGCCATTGTGTGTCTGTAATATAATGAAATATAAGAATATTGTTAGTTATTTGTACAATAAAAAATGTTTCACCTTCATTATTTATCATCAAATATTTATTCTCGTATTAGTATCTGTTATAATCAATAATACTTCAAAATCTTTTTCACTATGGCAACGATTAATCAATGTATTATAATTCAGCTTATTATTGTGCGGTGGAACTACCCATTTCATTTTATATATAAAAACATTTAAAATTTGATTGAAAGTATGACATTTTGTAAAAATTTGTCAAGTTATGATGATTATTTTTAGTTTACATTTATCCAGATATCATAATAAAAATGTTGAAAATGTGCAAAACTTGTTAATTTTAATTGGTATTTATTAATGATTGATAAATTGACCTTATAAATAAAACAAATCACAATGCCAAAAAAAAAACGTGGTGTTAGAGAAAAAAAGGGTAAAAAGAATCCTTGGTTAAACGAAAGAGAAACATTATCTTACGAACAACAAATTTTGGACAATAATAGACAATTAGCACGGTATGATAGAATATTCATTTAACTTTACTAAAACGCATGTATATAATTATTTACTTTAATCTATATGTGAATATTACAGACTGCGTAGTACTAATGAAGAACTTGAACATGAAGTTAAAACTATAAAACAACAGTTTGTAAAGCTTGAAGAAGATCGTTCAGATATCGTGGCATATTTGAAACGCAATCTAGAAGAGAACATCGAAGAAGCACGCGAATTAAATGAACGAATATCTGCTTTGGAAGAATTGAGAAAAAATGAGTTAGCTTCATTTAAAAAAAAGGAAACAGCAATGGAACTTGAATATCGCACTATGGAAAGTAATTTGAGTGCGGAGGTCAAACTAACAGGTACATACATTAATAAATAAAATCTTGATTATTTGATTATTTGATTTATTATGTTTTATTTTTGGTCAAAATGATATTCTGAATTAATGTACATAGATATACCAATAATTGGAGGAAACTATAGACTATGTTTTGATACTTCAACTGTCTGTTATTAGCTGGAAAATTAAATGCATTAGAGGATTGGAGAATAGCACGACTTGATTTAATGCATAAATTTGAAGTGCAGGAACAACAATTAAAAGAACAAGAAGAAAGACATAAAAACGCGCTCCATGCTGCTGAAAAAGCATTAATCGTTGGAAAAGCTAAGTATGTAATTTCAATATAAATCAAATAAAATCTAAATAACTTATTTTTTTTCCATTTTAAAAGAATGCAAAGAGAAATGGAAGAACGACTAAATGAATTAGCTGAAAAATTCAGAGAAGCGACTAACATTCGTATAGCAGATACTACTCATAGAGCAGTAAGAGAAAACATTGCATTAAATCAAGAATTAGATATGATGTTGGAAGTTAGTCGTGAATTATATTCCAATACTATGGATTACAAAGAAGCAGTTAAAATGCTAAAATTACAAGCCGATTTGTTTGAAGAAGAAAAAAATATCACTTTAAATAAAACAATTAAACAAAAGAATTTGATTACTAATCTTGCGCAAGATTGTAATGACATGAATAATAAATATTTGAGATTAAAACAGTTTAATGATCATCTTATTAGTCATGTAGCAGTATTAGAAGAATATAAAGAGAGATCTATTATAGCTGAGAATAAAGTTCACATTCTTGAACAACATTTACAACAAACTATAGAAAATAAAACTCAAATATTAGCAGAAGTTTGTTCCAAACAACTAGAGTTTGACAATCTAAATCAAATATTACAAGAGGCTCAAGAACGTATAATGAAAGCATTACAGGTAAATAAATAAATGAAAAATAATGAAGGTTTAATAAATTTTAAATATTCTATTACAGTTGCAAGGAAAATTGTCTAAAGAGGATGTATGCAGTTCTTGTCATATTGATCTTAAAGAACAAGTACTTTCCTCTCTTCTTAATATATTACAAAAGGAATCCATTCCTAGTATATCATCACACCATATAAGTCATCAGGTATAGAACTATAATTTTTCTAAATAATTATATAAGGTCAAACGGAAACTTCAGACACCTTGTATAAAAGAAGTCATAATATAATTTTATTTTAAAACGCACTCATAATATACTTCATGTATTTTAATTATCTTATTTTATATGATATTAACTACAATTACTAATTGCATAAAAATATATTTAGGAAGAAGACATAACATGTTACTACCAGAAAGGTAGTTTGGGTTTATTGCAAAACACTATAGATAAAGTTAAAATAGAAAAGGATAAACCCGGAGAGGACAAATCTCTAGAAACCAAAAAAGAAGAAGAAAAGAAATCTTTATCTACAGAGGAGATAATACCATCTTGTTTATTACACGACGATAGTTCTGATATGATTAATCAATCAATTGATTAAAAAAAAATTAATAAATAAAAGGAATAATACGTTAACAAAGAGTATCTGTGAATGTTCGTTTAAATTTAATTCGTCCTACTGACAATTTCTAAATTCTATTTATTCGTTCAGTCTTTAACTTTGATATATGACTATTTTATTCGAGTATTAGGTTTCTATCAAAATAAGAGAAGCTTGGTTTAGAATTCCGGTTTGTATTGGGTGTATATACTTAAGTAAATATTAATAAATAGGTATGTACATTATAGAACTTGTGTTTTTGTGCCTTGAGGAGGATCAGACTTGTATGCGGCCTAGACCTTGCAAGAAGGTGAAAGTCGCGAGGTCGAGATTAATCTCTCATCTTCGTACTTTCTCAAAAATATATAAATTTTTATAATCATCCTACGATCTTTCGTTTCGTTTCTTTTCTTTTCTTTTCTTTTATTTATCTGTGATATTTTCACTACTAATTGAAAAATGTATATCCTTTCATCAAATATTAGCAACTGAAATCGATAGAATGTGTCATGTATATCGTATAAAAATACATTTTTTTGCGAATAGAATGAAGAAATAATATCGACGATATTATCTACTTGTAAATATATATATCACGAGGTACGTATTTAAAATTTTAAAAGGTTAAAACAGAAATTTTCGCATATATTCCAGCGTGGAAAGTTTCAATTGGGTTGATATGGCAGTTCGAGCCGGCAAGTCCAGTTTTCTTGTCTCTATTTGATACATCCGGATCGAGTTGATATTAAAGTAGTGAACTACTAGACTCTGGTCGTTTCTGTGAACTACGTTAGCCTCAAAAGTAGAATAAGTATAGAAACTTCTATAGAATGAGCCTCCTTTCTTTAAAAGAACGAGCTAGCAAGATCGATCGCATTCTTTTACCATCTCGTACACGCCTTGATGAAAGTTTATATTATATATGTAACCGTTAAAGCCTGAAATCCGTAAATTCATAGTATAACTATCTAAACAATGAATTATACTGATCAGTTAAAGTATAAGTTAAAATATGAAATGAGCCAGAATTACAAAGTGTAACAATATATATATGTTACCGTCAAAGCCGGAAATCAGTCACTGCTAGTAATTCCTCGGCATTACTATGAATGCAAAGAGTCTTCAAGACGAAGTCGGAAATTAAAAAATTCTTCCAGTTTTTCCTAGGCATCGAACATAATACTTTGATATTCTATAGAATATCAAATTACTATTTAAACAAAGTTGAAAAGAATACATTCTCGGGCACAGACACACACAGCCACAACAGAGGTTTATTAATCCGATAATATTTGAATTAATTTAATATTAAAACATTTATACTAATTGTGTTCTTTTTCTGAAGTGTGTATACATTTCTTTGGCAGGCTCTGTATATTATACGTATATTTAAATATCCGATTATCCATACTTAAACATCGTCAGTCAATTCATCATTGCTGTCATCGTCTTGTATCACATATTTTAAGAATTCCAGGAAGTTTATTGATAAGTCTCTATAGAGAGGTACCACTTTCTCCAAATGATCTCGTGTGCTTCTAACCGGTTTGACCATAACGATTTTAATCTACTTTGCTCGATTAGAACAAAAAAGAGAAAAACTATTTACGTGGTACGATTCATGTAATTTTCGATCAGTCTATTCTATTTGTAATCGAATAGAAAATGATTATTTCTTTATTTAGGATATTTTTGAGTATTTCCTAAATTTATTTATTTATTTTTTTAAGAAAAAAATGGACATTAACCCATTATGACAAAGAAAAATACAAATTGTTTGTTCTTTTTATAAACGTAGAAAAGATATACTTGCAATTTCTATTCTTCTCTTGAGACGTTAGATATAATATTATTCATATCGTCATAATTATTGTAATGAAAAATTCTTTTTTATAATATTTACTTTTTATTTGCATACGTATATTTATATCACACATACTTAATCGCTTATTCAAATGTATTACAATTGTATTACAATATGTAATTACAGTTGACTGTCATCACAAAATACGTATGTGTGTGTAAAACAATAATACTATATATTTGACAACACCCAACAATCCATGGGAAAGATCTTGACCGAACGTGATTGACTATTTCCAAGAGATCATTTAATACTTTCGATAACATTTGCAGAAGTGATAGTTCTTACTACGTTTTGCATAGTTAAATTGGGTGAGTCAAGTACATTGTTCCGATTGACCTTTTCATCTATTATATTTTATCTTCTTTATCTATTTTCCCACGTACATGATATACGTATATACCAATAACACATCAGAGTTCGTGCGAATTTAATGGTCATGTTACGTCGAGTTTACGTTTACGTTCGCAAATTGTATTTTACAAAAACAGTGTTGCATACAAACATCTATGCATGCGCATACACAAACACATACACATATATATACGATCTCGTAACGGTATTTACCCCTTATTATTTAAGTAGATTATATAATTTATGTTACGAGTCTAGACTCTTTTGATACATGTATTTATTATATATGTGTATATACATGTATAGTGAGAGAGGGAAGGAACTGAAACTAGAGTCTCACTCGATTTCGTTTTAAGATTAGAATGATGATTATCGTATAACAGGTGAAATTTTACATAGAATTATTTTTAATAATTCGATTATTCATTCGTAGAAACAGGACTCGACGAACAATACATAAGTACATACTTATTGTATGATAAGTATTATCCGTGAGTTATATTAATGTCTTTTGTTGATATTTTTCTACTTTTCTTTCTTTTTTTTTTTTTGAAATTACAAAGGATCCTTTTTCGTTATAATAATTTCTATAGATTCACTATGAACGTCTATTTGTCACTCGTGTCGAGAATGCAGGAGGGAATTTAAGCTTATAAGAGGAGGAAGATATAATACTTTTCACTGTGGAGGAAGATCTACCTTGACCCACATCCGGTCAAGTTCATTGCTCATCCGTCACGATGACCTCGACGCGCCTTCCTCGCATAACGTGACGCATACTTTTACGTTCGTGGAGATCGTTCATCTTCTTATTGTTAGTATGTATATTTCCCCCTTACTCTTTCTTTTCTTTTCGTATTAATTATACAGGATGTTTCATAAATAAATATTAATACTTCAAGAGACATATCTATATACTAAAATAAGTAGAAAATATTATATATAAACATATGTTTAACATATTATTATTTCGAGTTACGGATGATTAAAGAAAATGTTCAGTATCTGTATCTCTCTCTCTCTCTTATCATTGAATTTATAATTATTGAAAATGTCGATGAAATTATGCAAAAGATGGGATAAGACAGTCACATAAACAGTTATGATATCGCTAAAGGAACTAAACATCAGATTGTTCCTACAGTAAAGTAATATAGATTTTACCAAAAAAAATGACAAGAGTTCGTCGATCAAAACGGCATATTTTTAAATGAATCAAATTTATTGAAACTATAATAATATAAAAATGCGTTTGGTTAGTGTAAAAATTGGTGAAAACGTTTAGCAAATTAATTGCTACAACTCTAACATATAAGAATAATTATCTAAAAGGTTAAATAATTAGGTTTGGTTCAATATATAAATAGTTTATTATCGTAATTAATATAATATATTAAATACCATAAATTTCATTAAACGAAATTAAAAAAAATCGATACCAGGCTAAATCGCTTTCTCTCAGTCTAATAAATAAATTGATTCCATTACGTAAGAATTCTTACGCCTGTTCTTAAGATAAAATTGACAAATATATAAAAGTACAGGAATTACTTGCTTAATACTATAGGATTATAACAGACGAACAGGCGTCATCCTAAAATATTAAAGAAACATTTCAGTAGAATAAAATATCTTTCAAATCAATGATTGTTACGTAATTGACTAATAGCCTTTTTTTTTTAAACAATGTTCCTCATACATTTATAATTCATGAAGTGAGGAATATTAGTATTGTAATCAAAGATTGCATAATCTACTAAAGAGAAATACAAATCTAAATTTCACATTAAAATATTAATGATATGTTGTTCAATAAATTACCTTCTAATAGTGTATTTATTTTTTTCCGTATATTGTGTTATGATCTAACTATTAGTAATTAAAATTTATTATTATCAAAATCGGAATCGACACAAATGAGATGTAAGCTGATTTTCTTCGAACTTTTACGGAGTCGAAGTTAGTTATACATTTCTATGTTTTACAAGAAAATTTAAATTTCAATTAAGATTTCCATTAAAAGTTCATCAAGAAGATATACAGATATCATATCATTATGAACTTCACTTACCCTGTTTTCGCTAAGTAATTAATGGACTTAATGAACAAAACAATTAATCAACCCCAAAGAGAAATAGGAATAATACCGATCGATCCTATAGTTCTGGGAATTACGAGAGTACAGTTGGAAAAGGGAAAGGATACTTTTATAATGAAATTTAAAAGAGATAAAAAAGAAAGAGAGAGAAAGAGAGAGAGAGATAGAAATATATGTCTGCCAATGGCTGATTATTATTAATGTAATTACAGAAAGGAAAAAAAAAGGAGAGAAGGATAAGAATAAGAAGAAAAATAAAATAAAAAGGAATAAAAAAAGAATTGGAAAAGAAGATAGAACGCATTGTATTATTTTACAGGCGGCATAGCTTTCTCTTGCAGTAATCCCAACATTATTGGTTTTCGAATAAAAATCTATTGTCTAGCTACCGATCAATTAGCCCTAAACACTGGCAAGACGAATGGTAATTTCGTCTATCTTTTTCTAGGGCTACGGGTTGCGGCTTCTCATTCAGAGAACGAAAATGAAGGAATCGCTTGAAAGAGAAAGGCCATGTCGAGAACAGAATATAAAGGAAACGTTCAAAAGAGAAAGGTAACAAGCCCGAGAGGTATGTTTCAACGCAAACAGATGTAGGAGAGACGAAAAAGAAAGACAAATAGAGAAAAATGGAAGGAAAGAGAGAAAAAAGAATAAAGAAGAGAGAAAGACAGTGGGGAAAGAGAAAGATAAAGAAGTTACAAGACTGTTGGAAAAAGCAAACAGTGCAATCGGTGAAAAGTAGCTCGATCGATGTATATACGCAAGAGGAAGAGAAATATATTCTTGTGCGATTCTATTTCGCAAGGACACACGCGACTAGTAACATTCAAGTAGTCAAACTTACTTTTCTACGATACTATGATGGTTCTCTTAACATACCACGTATTCATATAATGTACATTGAACCGTTGAAGAAAGGGTGAAAGTCTCTGGAATGGGCTGTTTGTTTCGATGGCAATTTTCAATGGTTTTAGAATTAACCTACACTTGACTAGATATTTCCGAGGTAAGTGTTAAGAAAAATGATAATGATAAAAATGATAATGTGTTATTCCGATTAGTTCAAAACTTTTGAAAATCATCATTCTTGTCTTGACATCACCAAGTTGTATGTATGTTATGTATCGGGAATGTATCTCGATCGAGTTTGTTCGAGCACGCCAATGTGGTTCTATATCTCTTCATATTAGCGAACGACACGATAAAGAAAAGTGAGAGGCAGCCGGAACGTGTGCTACTCTTATGCAACTTCTGATAGGAATCGTAGTATGGGTCACTTAGTCACTAACTCTCTTACGAAAATTTTCAACTCTCTTCTTTAAGGAATTGCTACGAACTTACTAGACGAATCCTTTTCAAGGACACGATTTTGAATAAATTCGCGAATAATATTTATTAAGATATAAATATGTTTAAATTTGTTTGAACTATAAATGAATTAGCATTTTATAGCGAAATTTTTTGTCGATGAATTAATTAGAATATCGTATTGGTTTTCGTTATTAACAATATGAAAAGAAGTCATCTATGTCAAATCGAAACTAGTCTTAACACATGTTATTTTCAAAATTAGATTTATACCACTTTAGAAAAGGAATCTGTGTAGCCTTCGTGCGTGATAAATGTTTAATGCGTGTGATATACCTTGAATGATTGATAAATAATCTACCGTTAGATTGGCTTATTGTTTTCTATGAAAATGAGTTAAAATTATTTTATTGATTTTTGTTTATATGACTTTTCCGAAAGTTACATATGTATAACGAAAACAATATTTATTCTTTAGAAAGTCTTACAAACAAGAATCAATAAAAGTAATTTAACTGACTTTCATAGAGGACAATGAATCAGTTTACTGTTGAATTTCGAAGAGGAAGGTACGTCAAACTTATACTTCATGCTTCTAAACTACATATTCTCTGATGAATTAACAATCATTTAGATCAACTATCGATCGACGTATTTCATACATACATACACACACATCACACTAACACTAGAATTTTTTTCATAATTTCGTTTAACTGTTAATAGACTGTTGGTTTTTCCTTCCCGCTCCTCTTTTTTCACGTCTTTTTATAAAATTTTATTGTTACCGTCGTTTAAGAAGTTTCATTTAAAAAAAAAAAACGGCACATGTAACGTTTGTCTTTCACTTTCTCAATTTAAACGAGAGTTATTCCTCTCAGGAAATTGCATTTGAAAAATATTCCGTTGAATCTCCGACGATAAGGTGATTGTATGAGCACACGCGTGTTTCTGCGTGTATATGTATATATGCGTGATAATAGAGATTTCCTTTTCGATATTAGCTCTAGCTAGAACGTGATGTATATCTTATGAAAAATGCAGAAAGGGAGGGAACAGCAGGGATCCTGTACATACAATGGCAAGACGACGAAGAAGAAGAAGAGTTCGAATTCAATGACCGGATATACGGCGCACTGATGATCGCATCTTGCGTATTCATTTCGTGTCTTCGATACAACCAAGCCTCTGTAAATAAAACCATCCATTTTTTATATATGTGTGTGCATGAGGGTAAACGCGCGCGCGCGTGTGTGTCAAAAAAGTAATAAATTGAAAACAGAGAAATCGTAGCCGCTAGGAAAATAAAAGCAAAACTTTCCTACTCTCTATACTTTTTGTCTTTCCATTTCGTTGTTAATTACCCTCTACTAAAACAAGAATGAGTCTCAAGCCATCCGTGAAAAGAAGAAGTTGATCCACCCAGTGCCACTTGAGAAAGAAGTAATCTTTTGACGTTATTTCCATTGTATCTTACAATGGGCAAATTGTCCCTCATACTTTGGATAATTACCATGCGAATCTTTGCGAATGAGAAAATAACATTATTTATTTAAGTAACAACGTATGTATATATATATATTATATATAGACTAACGCTTTAAAGTGTTAGATTACCCTAAATATGTCATGTTTGATGATTGGGAACAACATTATTTTTTATTAACGAAAAATTATTTTATTTATTTTAATTACACAATTTTTTTTACACAATTTTGATGTTCTATTATGCGTCTAAAATAAACAAGGTTCTATTCTATATACGTTACGTTACTAGTTTCTGTCAGATCACTAAAGTCAAGCAACATGGGCACGGTTAGTGTAAAATGGATAGGTGACTCGTTCGAAGAAATAAAAGACAAAAATCGTGTGCTGTGATTTCAGAGAGGTGGTAAAAAGATGCAACCTCTTTGGTAGTATTGAATTAGTGTGAGAAGATGTTAGTAAAAAAGTAATGGGAGAGATTGAGAATCCGTTAAAGGGAGAGTAAAAAGACAAGATATTAACCTGTATAATAATTTTAAATCTTCGATTTATTTATATATCCACATTTTATTATTTATGACAACTTTGTTCAATTTTGTAAATTTTTAAAAATAATGTCTCCAATTAAAGTAAAGTTGTGGTTTATTATTTATCGCATGTTTGTAATGATATTGAAAAAATAATTGGTTCTAAAGAAAATTGATTTATAGTTTTGTTAGAATTATTTTCAAATTTTAATTGACAAAAACAATGTCAACATAATAAAAATTTAATTACAAATAAAGATCACGAGGTAATATGTGCAAAGAAAAAATACATAATAATAATAATGATAGATGTCTATAAATACTTTTGAGTGGAAGCGTATATAATATTTCTTTTTAAATATCTATACACAGATATTTATAACGTTGTATAGTTCATTTAAAAATACTTTCAAATTTATTACTTATTCATTTCTTTCTTATGTATGATAATAAATGATATTATATTCATAATAATTATATTTTACCGTACTTTCGACTTTTTTACGAACGCTCTAAAACTAATCTTAAAAAAGCTATAATTAATTTTATCCAGTAATCTTAGATCAATGCATCATGCATAAACAAAGATTGAAATAGTATGCATAAACTAAAATTATTCTATCACTTACAAGATAATGTGTAATACATATATATATATGTGTGTGTGTGAATTAAAAAATAGTTTATTTAATAATTAAATAATCAGTATTTCAGTGACACGAACCATATGTATCACAGGTGATAGTGGAGAATTCGACGAGTCCTCTCCATCGTACGTTGACCTTGAAATTCATTCCTTTCTATTCTACGTTCGAATGTTCTAAGCTCTAAGAAATAGAAGAAAATCTTCGTATTTTACTTCGCGGATCCAAGATAAATTCTTTCATCGAACGAGATATTACATATACGAGAAGTTACGGGTTTAAGATCGACTACTTTTTACCGCTTTTTCTCTCTTCTAAGCACATCCATGCATGCATGATAACTCCTAGTCCATATACATACACGTATAGAAGCGAAAAGGATTCTGCGGAAACGTGTGTACGTATTTAAGTACATATACATACATATATCTATCTACTACATCCGAGCTTTCCTTCGTCTATGTGTATGTTCCGGCCTAATGGATCGTACGTACACATACATAGTAATTCGTACCGATTTTTCTGACTTGAGCCAGTGAAAGGGAAGGATATTTCCAGTCTTCGAGACCCAGATACTTAAGAACTCTCCTTTATACCCTTTATTTGTATATTCAGTTTCCCGTTTATCTTCACCGTTCGATTTCCACATTATTTTTGATGGATCATTTAATGACTACTCCAAGTGACCATTTTCTTGAAAAGTCAATTTTCTTACGTGAAACTGCAAATCATTGTCATTGCTTATAAACGCTAAAAAGCTATTCCTTTTAACGTACATGGTTAAGGATGCAGATTACGCTTGTGCGTCCTGAGCCGAGGAAAGATCGATGATGACCTTTTTAGTTTACTTCTATCGCAAAATGACACATTCAAATCTTTTAGAAAAAAAAGAAGAAGAAGAAAAAGAAGCAAACAAAAAGGGGGAGGTGGAGAAAAATGTTCTGTAACTTTTTAACAACCTCACTTTAACTTTCCATACTTGCGTGTAATTCGTAAATGAAAAAGAAAAAGATAAAAATAAAAGGGAGAAAAAAAAAGTGTAATCTCGGTAGAGTGCTCGGTACGTTAACTATGCCATCGTTAATTAGTTATGCCATTACTCGAATAGAAAGGAGTCTATCAATAAACAATTTACGTTTTCACGGGGATCCATTATGGTTCATTAATAAACAAAAAAAAAAAGAAAAGATAAGAATATAAAAATTTCTTTTAGGCGTTTACGATTAGAAAGGTAATCATAGATTTCGTCGTCATCGAGTATCAAGTAAGATGATCCAGATATGAGTTAGATTGTAAGATCGAAGAGAACAAGGTCATAGTGATCGATCAAAGAAATATAAGTACGATCGATCCCTTCCGATTTTCGAAAAGTGCATCCAAGTATATTTACAGGATCCCGTTCTGTGTGGCCAATCGAAGGAGAGGCTTTCTCCTCGATCACGTTTCGTCTAGATCGCATCGAGTACACGCTTTATGGTAAAGCTTGTCTCTCTTTGGAGGGGAGTCTATATAGACTCTCCATTACGATGGAGCCCCTTCAAACTGTTCGCGTTTCTAAGACCGTACGCGTATACCTCAAGTTGGATACCACCTTGTTGCGTGTT